GTTTATGTGGCCCCGTCCATACTTTCAGGTTCTCGGCAGTTTTGCTTACATTGTTCGCAGCTAGTCGGCCAACTGCGGCCCTCCCAGCATTCTGTTCCAGCATTTCCCAATGCTAGCCAATGGCTGAATCGCCTTCAAACCAATTTTTATTATCAAGCAAGTTCAGCCCAAGCGTGAACTTTGAGCTGTTAGCGACAGCAAGGACAATGTTTATATGAGGGAATGTGGGCGGTGCCGAGAATCGATTCTCACAATAACTCACAACATTCGAGGCGTTCATGCTGAAAAACGCGATAGACTGGGCTCCCCAGGAAGCTTACGAGAGCGCAGCTGCCTATTTTGGAGTGTTCCCTACGTTCATGTATTTCCATGCGCTCTGTGTTATTCTGCTTCTCAACATCATCACTCATGGGACCGTAACAGCGAAGGTATCTTTTTGAGCTATCTGTATCGTGTGAACGTCTACAATATTTCTAGACCTTTTCGGGCAACATTCTGCAGAGGAGAAGATGAGGCAGTAAAGTATTTATTTCCATTGCCTGATGCATAACTCGAGATCAAATCCCATTTAGAAAACGCCAAATTAGTCTCTGTTTTATTCGGGTTATCTAACTGGTACCTGATCTCTATCAGAGGATGAAAGCACATAGTTTTCCGACGTCTGCTATCAAATTTCTTTGTAGAGGAATTGTATTCAAAAGCTCTTGTGGTTCTTACTGGAAGTAGAATTCTTGAAGGAAAGTTAAGATGCTACTCAAGTTTTTTATTCCTTTATTCTGTGGTCTACAGGTTGTGATCATTGCTGCAAAGTTAGGCGTCCTTTGCATATTGCATATGGTCATCTTCCTTGAAGAACCGCCACCAGCACAAAATTTGGTCTTATCTCTGCTAAAAGTCTTTATAGCTGATGGCTGATCTTCATCTCTATTTGAAGCATGAACCTTGCTTCAGCTAGAGAGAGAACCGAAAAGCAACAAGGGCACTCAAAACGCGAATCCCTATCATTTTATGCGAGCTTCTAGAGTTTTGAAAACAAACTCTCTCTGTTGATGATTCCTACGCCCCTTGAACTTATAACTTAGGTACCGTAACTGGTTTTTAGCGGTACCTGGCTAGTTTAAGTCTTCAAGTCCGGTCT